GTTATTTACTCACCACCCACGTTCTTCACGTTTCCTGTCACTTACAGTTATTTACTCACCACCCACGTTCTTCACGTTTCCTGTCACTTACAGTTATTTACTCACCACCTACGTTCTTTACGTGCCATCTTTTGAACAGTATCGTCACTTCAACATCAGTAGTAAAATACATCTGTTGCAAAAATAAATAATAAAGTTTCAGAAAAGTACCAATAACAACCCCAGAAACATGTAAGTAACATTAAACTCTGTGTTACTTCAGCAACTGTTTATCACATCTACTATATATGATGCTTAATTATACCTAGAACATTAGACTCTTACGTCTTGTACATAAAGCAATAAACTGTTTCAGGAGTAAACTATTTCTCAGTATAGTTCCTAATAAAAAAGAAAATACTTAAATCCCGATATTACTAATAAGAACTAAAAAAAAATCAATGTTTCACAAGATTATCATGGAACTTTTAACGACTGAAGTGACTTTTTGAATCTACCTGAGGCATCCGGACTAAGAAGAACAAAAGCAACGTCTATTATGACAAAAGTAAACAATAAAGTTTCAGAAAAGTACCAATAACAACCCAGGAAACATGTAAGTAACATTAAATTATGTGTTACTTCAGCAACTGTTTATCACTTCCACGTCTGTCAAGGGATTTGGACGATTACTTTATTATAAGCGATTCAGTGAACGTTAAGCTACTCGGGTCAAGAACACTTCTATTAGAACTGTTACAAGATGGTCTATTCCAGAATGATAATGTTCCATCCAAAATATTTCAATAATGGCACACAGAGAACTCGTTCAAGATGGTGAATATCTACTCCATCCCATCAAGCCAAAATCGTTAAACACAGAAAATCATTTATTGAAGAATAGACTGGTCAGTGCAGTCACATGATTTAAACAAGATAATCGTGTATCGAGAATGAACGGGTCAGTAGTCACCTGATTTTTAAACCAGATAATCATGTATCAAGAATGGACTGGTCAGTGCAGTCACCTGATTTAAACCAGATAATCATGTATCGAGAATGAACTGGTCAGTAATGTCACCTGATTTAAACCAGATGATCATGTATCGAAAATGGACTGGTCAGTAGTGTCACCTGATTTAAACCAGATAATCGTGTATCGAGAATGAACTGGTCAGTAGAGTCACCTGATTTAAACCAGACAATCATGTATCGAAAATAGTCTGGTCAGTGCAGTTACCTGATTTAAACCAAATAATCGTGTATCGAGAATGGACTGGTCAGTAGAGTCACCTGATTTAAACCAGATAATCATGTATCGAAAATAGACTGGTCAGTGCAGTCACCTGATTTAAACCAGATAATCGTGTATCGAGAATGGACTGGTCAGTGCAGTCACCTGATTTAAACCAGATAATCGTGTATCGAGAATGAACTGGTCAGTGCAGTCACCTAATTTACAACCAGTAGAGAATGTGTGGGTGGAAGTGAAACATCAAATTAATAAGTCCCATTTGAAACAAAACGTGAAATAATTGAGCCAATCCTGTAATCAGAAGAGATCATTTGAAATTGTTTGTTTTCGGCATTTCACAAAAACATTTTATCGTTTTGAAAAATAAAAGGTGTTCCACAAAATTCTTGACGTATGTACAATAGAATTTGTGCTACATTTTGAAAGTATAAACAAAAGAATTATCTGGTGTTTCTCACGTAGTAATGTTTTAGGACAACCTTTCTTATTCCATTTTTTTATTATTATAATGCAACGTCTAATAAAACTAATGATTCTCCTTTCATTAATGAATTCAGCAGGACCTTTTTTTTATTAGAAACATATTAGTTACTATATGACTCTAAACAAATAATTCTCTCAGTAGTAAAAACATGCAATAGTGAAAATTGGTCAGACAGTCTAAGACGAATGTATACTTGTCTTGGTTATGATATCATACGAAAAAACTGTCTATTCTAATAATAGCTGAACCATCTGTTGGTTATAATATCATATTAACAAACTGTCTGTTCTAATAATAACTGAACCATCTGTTGGTTATAATATCATATTAACAAACTGTCTATTATAATAATAGCTTAACCATCCGTTGGTTATGATATCGTATTAGCAAACTGTCTGTTCTAATAATAACTGATCCATCTGTTGGTTCTGATATCATATGAAAAACTTTCTGTTCTAATAATAACTGAACCACCCATTGGTTCCGATATTATTTTAACAAACTCTCTGTTGTGCTAGTAGCTAAACAAAAAAAAAGGTAACTTAAAAACAAATTAAATAAGAATTTCGAAAAACTAAACTCAGTATACTAGTGGTTTTTAACATGCTCACCATGTAAACACAGTGTAAGATATTGAGTTAAGCCAATCGGTAAATTCAGACAAAAGAAACGAGTAGTGTGGATCTACAGCTAACAAATATGTGTTTAATAATCGACAAATCAATAATAAATTTTAATTGTGGTGTGTTTGTCATATAGGTGTCATATTTACTTATATCAATTGCTATAACAAACGTACATACCTGCATCATCATCATCATTCCATCCATCCCTTTATGATCCATGACCGTTAGCTACACTTGTGTTGACAAGTTGATTTTGATTTCTGATTTCCTATATCAGGAGTCCCAATCTAGAATACAGATTTAAAATACTGATTTTGAACTTCTGAAATGCTGAATTAAAGGATATAATGCTAGAGAAGAATGTGGAGAGTTTTACTGGTCAACATATAATATAACGTGGTGAGACTATAGTATAATGAAGATAACGTTTAGTGGTTTCACTATATAATACAACAGGGATTCTGAAGCGTAACAGAGCTTGGCAGGTGAGCTATGACTGTGAGAAAACCAGTCGTTACGAAACTTACTGTTGTAACAGGACTTAGCAGATGAGATATGTCTAAAAACTATCCGTTACAAAGTTTCCGAGAAGATGTAACTATCAAACACCAACATTACGAACCTATAATGTTGTAGCAGAGGTTTGTATCAGGTCAGATGAGAATGTAAAAATAACTAACCGTTACGAAACTCCGCTATTGTAACAGAACTTTATAGCAGGTGATTTGTCACAGTAATAACTGTTACTGTTGTAACAGAAAGTTGTAATATGGTCAGGCTTAAATCTCGTAAGATAGGATCAAACTTAACTTAGAAAGCGAGAAACATCTACATCCGAAAAGCTACAGTTTAAGTTAATAAAAGTTTTTTCATTTAAAACCATTAACATAGGAAGAACTACCACCATAATATTATAAATATATTAAAACACCCTTACGTTGGTAACAGGTGCGACTTGAAGATATCTGGACGAATAGTCACGAGATACAAGTATACGTTGGAACACATTTTTAATTCTCTTTAACAATGCCGATTAAATTCTGATTGGTTCAGTGTTGTGTTTACTTTACTGATAACAATGTAATAGAAACGGTTCAAAAGGTCGTCTTTGGGGATTTAGGATTACTCTGATAAAAGATTTTAGAACAAAACCTGCGAACTTTCATATTTTATTATAACTTCCAAAACAATGCATAATCTTATCCGAAACATTTTAACATTGCACGAGGAACAGAACAAGGCGTTTGGAAATAAGATAGTCATGCTAGGTATAAAAGGTTTCTGTTAATCAAGTTTCCATTATAAAGCTGTATTATTGATTAGGAGCTACTATCACAACTAATATGTAACTTGTAATTATGGTCATGTTCACGAATAATTTGATATTTGGATGCTTATTATCTTATACTATTGAATTCCAGAATTTGTATTGTAAGTTGAAAGATGGTCAATACAATTAGTGACTCCCTAAACTTCCCATAAGATCATCTCAAGCTCAGACATTTCATTTGGTCAATGATAATTAGTGACTTTGTATTGGTATTCCAAAAAAGAAAATTACACCAGCTAAAGCCCGCCATCTTGTTAATGATAATTAGCGACTTTGTACTGAAGAATTACTCTTTCTAAAAGACGATCATCTCAAGCTAACACACATCATATGATCAGTAATAATTAATGACCATTTACTAAAGGACTATCCTCCATAAAATATAATCATCAAGCTAAAACACTTCATATGGTCAGTAATATTTGTTAACCATTTACTAAAGGACTATCCTTCTTAAAATAAAATCATCTCAAGCTAAAACACTTCATATGGTCAGTAATAACTAGCGAGCACTAACTAAAGGACCATCCTTCCTAAAATAGAATCATTTCAAACTGAAACACTTCAGTAATAATTAGTGACCATTTACTAAAGAACCATCCTTCCTTACATAAAGCACGTCAAACTAAAACACTCCATACGGTCAGAAATAGTTAGTTACCATTTACTGAAGAACCATTCTTCATAAAATATAATCATCAAGCTAAAACACTTCCTATGGTCAGTAATAATTAGTGACCATTTACTAAAGGACCATCCTTCCTAACACAAAACCATCTCAAGCTGAAATACTTCATATTGTCAGTAATAATTAGTGATCACTAACTAAGGGACTATCCTTCCTAAAATAGAATCATGTCAAGCTAAAACACTTCATATGGTCAGTAATGTTTACTGATCATTTACTAAACGACCATCCTTCCTAAAATAAAATCACATCAAGCTATAACACTTTATATGATCAGTAATAATTTGTGATCATTTACTAAAGGACTATCCTTCCTAACACAAAACCATCTCAAGCTAAAACACTTCATATGGTCAGAAATAATTAGTGACCATTTACTAAAGGACCATCCTTCCTAACACAAAACCATCTCAAGCTGAAATACTTCATATTGTCAGTAATAATTAGTGATCACTAACTAAGGGACTATCCTTCCTAAAATAGAATCATGTCAAGCTAAAACACTTCATATGGTCAGTAATGTTTACTGATCATTTACTAAACGACCATCCTTCCTGAAATAAAATCATCTCAAGCTAAAACACTTCATATGGTCAGAAATAATTAGTGACCATTAACTAAAAGACCATCCGTCCTAACACAAAATCATCTCAAGCTAAAACTTACTTAGCCCCTATAGAAATTTTACTATTTGTCACTAACTTTTTCAGTTTCAAATATGCGTCTTTTACCATCCCTATTCTCCGTTTTATTTCGTGATTACATCTCACGTTACCCAGGCTTCCCAAGTAGTTAACTTTATTCACCTGCCTTATCTACGGTGACAATGTATACAGGAATGATCTTCTTCTATGTGATTACCATACATTCTGTTTCCCTATAGTTAATAGTTTAACTATTCTTCTCACTTTCACAAAAAGCTTTCAACATTTTTGACAGCTTTTCTTCTAAATCAGCTATTAAAACTGTGTTATCAGCATAACACAAGTTGTTCAATGATCAGTCCTTGTAAATCCTCAATCATCCTCAGGATTTTCTCACTCTAGGAGTTAAACAAGTCAGGTTAAAAGCCTTAATTCATTTTGTATGTTCACTGCTGTTCCCTAAAGCACGCCATTTTGTCAGTAATTATTAGAGACTTTGTATTGAAGAACTTCTGTTTCCAAAAAATGGTTCAAGTTGTGATTGAAAACCGTTCGTTTCTAAATATAAATAAATCATTAACTTGCAACCCTGTCGAAGTTTAGACCTTGTGAAAGTAAATTGCGTCCAAAAATGAGAAATTGTAGTCAAAACTACCTTGCATCCAATGTTAAGTAATTTTTTGTGGTTAAAATTTTCGGTGTATTATTATATTTCGTGTGTTGGAAAAGTGAACTTGGTTACCATAACTAAAACTGTTTTATCTTTGTTTGGCACGTGAGAAACTGGCTTATCAACATCCACTCCCCTTGTTGTTACAGTTCACACCGTTCAAGGTTATACATACTTAACCATGAAAAAGCAGCTACTGCTGTACAATAGTTAGTTGCCAAGATCTTTTTCGACTAATCATGAAGTGTTTTATCATTGCCCATAATTTGTCACCATAAAATTTGATTGTTTGTGATAATAGTTGTAACTCAACATTTTTGTTACAAATTGTGACACACGCCCTCTACCTACAAATAAATAATTTAAGGACTTGAATAGGTTACAGATACGTCGTCTAATCATTTCGTCAGTAGGTATCAACACATCATTCAAACCCTCATCTTTTCTGCTCCTGAAAATGCAAAGTGAATTATTCCAAAGAGCTAGAGTTTCTGGGTCTTTTAGGTGTTCCTTAATAGCAGATATCCAAAACCGATCTAAACAGTAACTCAACAGGCATCTAAATATCGTCTAAACGTCTTGTTACGTCTCCGTTTGTTAATTGATTTTCCGTAACTTCGTTCCGACGAAACTTTAACGACACAAGTCTTTACTTAATAAAACTGGTTTATTCTTTCCGAATATAACCTTACGATACACTTAATTTCAATATTCGCGCTAAAACAAACACTATAACGAACGAACGTTAACTTTAACAATACCCTGTGACTGCAGTTCAATTACTCACTATCTACACACACATTACATCCCCGTCACGTTGTCACCCTCTTTTATATACCAGTCTACCCTGTATCTAGTAAATACTAGAGCATTCGCCAAAGTACAGTATAGTTCTAGAAAGTAGAGGGCGTGAGAATCAAATGATCTCGATGACGCAACACTGCCCCCTCCTTAATATTGTTCGTCCCGAACAATAACCACATACAATAAACCAATAACAATAACTTAATTAACTGTACAGAATTACAAACACAAAATTACAATTCAACAAAGTCTCTTCATTTTACGGGACGTATCTTCTTCCGTACTGGTCTCCGTCTCGTTGGCTTCTGCTTCATGTGGGGTTCATCTGCTTCATCAGTAAATGTCCTATCATCGATAACAGTCACATCAGTGGTAGTAGCTTCATCAAGAGCTTCATCCTTTCCCTTCTCAAAACTGAGTAGACTTTCTTCTTTGATGGTGGCATCTTCAGGTGGCACGTCTTCAGCAGCATCTTTTGTTCTGTTGTCCATTTCGTCCCAACTGAAATGTCCTGGACCGTGGTAACGCCAAAGCCTGTTGGCATGCACCACTTTTGGCTTACCTCGCCGACCTCATTTTATCCGGAAAGTTACGTCTGAGAGACGATCCACTATGTCATATGGGCCTTCCCATGGAGAAGACAACTTAGGAGACTTCCCTTTGGTCTTCCTGGGATTATACAACCATACCTTGTCTCCTGGTACAAAGCTGACTTCAGTATATCTCTTATCATAAGTTAACTTCATCGAATCAGCAGACGTTTTCAAGTTTGAGCGCACTTGATGGTGAATATCATCCATCCTTTCCGATAACACTTTCACAAACTCTGACACATTCTCAGGCAACTCTTCATAAGGCGGGCATCCCTTATGCTTGGGTCCCCCTTTTCCACTACATGTCCTGCACCATTCTCCACATCTCGCTTCATACCTATCCAGTAAATTCTTTGTCGTAGGTGACTCAATGTCTTCTTGATTCCGAGATGTCCTCCTATTAAATTATCATGGGATCGACGCAGCACAACTTCCTGAAACTTCCTCGGTATAACTGTTTGCCAGGTCGTCGCTTTCCCATCTGTAGTTTCCCATCTCCGGACAAGAATACCATTTTCAAGCTTCAACTTGTCCCATTGCACCCAATTGTGCTTTGTCACAGGGCTTAGACTAGACACCTTCTCCCAAGCAGGGCACAAAC